GCAAAATAGGGAATAAGGCTATAAAATGACAAAAATGTGGATCAAGTGAAATGCTGTGAATACATTTCAGAAGCAATGTACCTTTTCAAGAGAAATTCAAAAACTATGATACTCAAAGAATTTAAGGTTACACATTTTTTACCAACATTATATTTTCCAATTCAAAAAAAGGCCATCCTTTTCTACCTACTTAACTCAAACACTCCTGAACAGGATTCATTCAAGGTGTACAGTGACTGCATTATGATCCATGTGATCTTTTGTTGGGAGAAGTAAGATCTGTGTGCACACAGAAACTTGGTCCACACTACCTTCTGGGCATCTTCATGGTGAGCATAGTTTACAAATCCAAATCCTCTTGAACGACCCTTCTCATCCTTCATGACCCGTACACTGAGAGTTCTCCCTGAGACCAAAACCAGACCATGAGACGCAAAGTAATCAAAAATAAACTAAAGGAACAAAAAATAAAATAAAAGTTTACAATATTTTTATCTTACCAAATGCAGAGAAAACTTCCTTTAGTTTCTCATCAGTGAAGTCTTCACCAAAATTCTTGATGTAGACATTGGTGAACTTCATAGCCTTACTGCCAAACTCCACCTCTCTTTCCTTGCGTGACTTAAAGTGGCCAACAAATCTGTAGATGTCATTTAAAATGTTAAGCAGAGAGACAGCATTTCGAGGAACAAATAAAAGGAAATTAATTACAGTATGTTAAATTATCTTTGGCTACAAGACAAATGATTAGGACAGATCAAGAACATCGCAAACAAACAGCTTTGGTTGTTTGTGATGAATACTGTTACCTGCTTAGCCCTAAAATAATTTTATAATACAGATAAAGACAACAAACCTAGACAGATATCCTACCTATTCACTGACCTAAGAAGATACAACTGACACTTTTCTCCCAGGAAACAGGCCTTTGAGCTGACAATGCCATATTCCAACCGTTTACCTGCCTTTTGACTGAGCAAACAAAAACAAAACAACAACACATGGAAAAATCATCTGCAAAACATGTGGAGTCTTCAGTAATATTTAACAATTTAAATAGTTAAAATATATTTAAAAATCACCCACAACATTAAAACCATCTGATTAATATTGTGTATGTCACCTTTATGCTGCCAAAACAACTGGCCCATTGGGACATAATCATGAGACCCATCCCTGAGTGCGTCTTCCATGGAAGGAGCCATGTTTGCCACAGATTGCGAGTGCTCAATTGAACTGAGACATAGGAAGTTTGAGGAACGCTGATTTGTCCTCCGGGCCACTGAGTGCCACTTCAGGTGTTTGGCAGTTTACACGGAGCCTTCGATCAGAATGAATAGGAATGCTCCATATAAAAAGACCTCGATCCAAATAAACAGGCTTAAATCATCTGAAAAATGTTTTTATATATTGCAGTAGTGGTTTAAAGGTAAGAAACCCCCCCCC